GGTCGTACACATCCTATAAGACATTCTAGAAGGATTCAGGACACGTTGACAAAAAGTCAACCCTTGACCAATGGTCAACGATAGGGTCAACAACACCACGTAACTTGATCCGAAAGATCAGCACATCGGATTTCCAATCTGTAACTTCCTAAAGGTCTCATTAAGTTTCTAGAACAACACGCTTAAACTTCATTACAATCTGACGGTTGAATTTCCACCTTGCAAATTTAAGTGGCGGTCAACTACGAAACTAGGCTAAAACGTTGGAATTTCACTAAATGGATGCTAAAAACGGAATTAGGGCATCAAAATTAGCTAAGAATGACATTTTGGGTTTTTGGCCCTAGGTAGCCACCACGCACCGTCGTAAGCTGTCGTCGGCAAGCCACACACCCTATGCGCGGCCCTGGGCTTGGTGGAAATATTTTGTTCTTGGATGAAATATCTTGCTAAAGCTAATGAAAGATGCCAATATGCACCTTAATGGCGTCATGGAATATTCCAGAGGTTAATGAAATATTCCCCTTCTTCTCCTTCAGTCTTGTTTCCAACGTCGTTCGCCGCTGCAAATCTCGTCAAATTTTGCATATTTCGTTGATTTTTGGAAAATTTTCAAAATGCTATAACTTTCCCATTTTTCACCCAAATTCTACAATCCAAATACCCAAATGAAGCTAGAAAAGAGTAGAGCATGATTTTACCTCTTTGAGTTCAAAATCTGACTGGAAATTGTCTGAAATTTACGAGAAAAGCACGATGTCCCAAGACTCGTAGAATCTTCATTATAACTCCGAATTACGTTCCGTTTGTGCCCATACGTTTGTAACGTCACGTACTATCTGATTATGCCAAGAAGTGAGAAAAATTATGAAAGGATCAAATACGTCCACATTGTATCCTTGATTATTGATAACATGTTATAATTTAATTGCGTGTTACATGACACTTAATTTAGTTTTGTCAATTTATGTTCATGTCCATATTGATTTTTTTTCAGGTATGTGTATATTGAGTTGTTAAAGTTCACCACTCCATCGTTTTGCAAGTTTATAAACTAGACAATAAAGATGATAGGCGTAATGAAATCGAGCTAGATGTGAGAATAGAACTATTTATTTGTTTTGAATGTTGTAAAAATATAGGAGTACTTTGAGCTAACAGAAGACTTAATGCAAACCCGAGCACAATGACATTTTAGAATTCATACATGCAACCCCACTTAGTGGAATAAAACTTGATTGTTGTTGTTGTTTAAAGAAATATGAGTTGTTTTTATAAGAGAAATGTATTTTACCTTATTTTAGCTTGCTTTTAATTATTTAATTAACTCGCGCTTCATATTTATGAATTTTTACTGACATCGGGCTTGGGGTGTGACATTTAAATTAAAAGCTAACCGATTAGTAAGTTAATACAACTTTAACTATTCATTTGGACCACTCTACAACGTCTAAATGATCACCCTTACATAAGGATTAGCCAAATTAAACAACTTTATGGTCATTTAACTAATCAAACAAATAGATGAAGACTATGTTTCTTAAAAAAAAAAAAGATAATTTCCAAGAGAAATCAAGTAGTTTTGTGTCATAGCCCGTTCCGAAATGTTGTAATATTAATTGGTCTCGAATGTGGAAGTTACTAATTTACCCTTGGACGTTAAAGTGTGTTGTCTGTATTATGTACTTAAGTTGGTCAATTCTAATATTTCCTAAGTTCTTGGAAAAAGACTTAAGCTTGTTACTTTGTTTTGTGGGTTAGTAACCAACTAGGACCACATACACACCCATCCTTTTCCCTGTGTACACTCTTTCTCGATTTTCTGCAACGTCCGTACAAACGTACAGACAATTCTCGAACCATTCCATTTAGGCACGGATCGACAAGGAGAATATGACCTTTGAGTTCATTGTAAGCTCTTGAGTCCATTCGTACCATTTATAGGAAGGGAAAGCTTAGAAAACCTGAGAACCCAAGATCCCAGTTTTGAGGTACTGTTCATGCAGTAGTAAATGCATGATTTTTAGAGGATTTCAAGCTTATAGGAAGCTTAGGGACCTCTCCACGAAGCTCGGAGAAGAAAAATGACATAATTTGGACGTCGGGAAGTTGAGATCGATGCATTTGAAGTTTGACTGGATTATCGAAGGTCCTTCGGCAAATTTTCATGGATTTTAGGTCCCAAAACAGGTATGGTTGTGTTCTATTCGTCCTAAGCTTCAATTTGGTTCAAGTTTCATGAAATTTGGTGGAAAATTGAGTGAGAAATGAAGGTTTTATTATTTTCCAAAAACCGACAACGCAGCGGTCACCGGCGCCAGACTCTGGCGAGTTGAGGAAGACGAAAGAGCATATTCCGTCAAATTTGACAGAATATTCTAACGGCAAAAGGTAACGCCGTTAATGTCTGTTAAGGTTTTAACAGAATATTCCACAGAATATTCCTAATGGCGGTTAAGGATTCCGTTAGGATTCCATGCCCGTGGCCACGCGTGGGACGTTGGAATTTTTTTTTTAAAATATGAGGATGTTCGTGAGGTTGTGTAGATCACATTGGTATATTTAAACATCCCATTTGAGCAATGTATGAGAAGTTATTAACTAGTTTTGTCTATGTGCTTTAAATAAATTTTATTCAGTTATTTCACATATAGGTGAGACCTATTCCGAGGACGAGCGCAATCAAGGGCGGCTCGGGGGCTATGACCCTTCGACATATCAATAAGTGGGCTTTTGGTTTTTAGTATATATTTATATACTTGATATTTTCCCAGAAAATGTGTTTAAATGAAAGTATGCTTTGAAATGCCATGCATATAAATTTATATTCAACATATGAATTAGTATATGATGCATAATATGAACTGGTGTTGTGGACGCTCCAGTAAGTACCAGGTGAGTATTGTTTTGTTATATGAGATATTGATAATGTGACACATGATTGAGAGCTCATAAACCTGCTCCCCGGGTGATTGTGATTTAGCTAGAGATATAATACATGCCTAGTTATAATGTCACCTCCCGCACCATATACTCACATTGGATCCAATTTAGGTGCACAGTCTTGTCGTACAAACCATCATAGGTGGTTCTGACTCGTAGGTGACTAGCGATTTATCGCACAGCTATCATGAGAGCGTAACATTGAGCATAACTATATTACACCCAGTCTTGTCGTATAGACCTTTGCAGTGGTTCTGACTCATGTGCAGTGTAGTGCCGTATAGGTCACTTGCGGTGACTTCGGCTAGATTGACTAATGAGCTATGAATTCAGTCGTACAAACCTCTACATGGGTTATGGCTAATATGTTATTTATCCATGAATTTATTTTCACTTGAGTTACTTATTTTGTTTTGTATTTTGGCATGGTATACTTATGAATATGGATATATGAAGCATGATTTGAATATATATATATATATATATATATATAATTATATTCCATTTCTGGGAAAGTTATACATGTTTTACGGCGAATGGTTAGAGTATTTGATAAATGAAATGGTTTTGTAAAGCTTTGTTTTTGCCCACTCACACAATCTGTTTTGCGGCCCTCCAAGTTTTAGATAAGCTTGTTCGTTGGTGGCTCACGAGGATTGATTGGAGGTTCTGACAGACTATCACAAATGTAGGTCATCTTTGAGTGTCGTTTAATTAGTACTTGTTTTCTGGACTGAACTTAGATTACTCATGCTCTGATTGTGTATTCACACATATTCTAGCACTTGTCTTAACTAGTACTCTTATGAGTTGGTTTTCATTTATTCGTATTCTCTATTATCTTTATTGTTTCTGCACTGTGCACACGGCTACGTCACCCTCACGTGATGACCAGCATACCCTGTTTCAGGTCGGGGTGTGTCATTTGCCTTTCTCTAGTTTGTTTACTATTGAAATCAAATTCGTGCACCACCGTAAATAAATGAGATGCACAAACTCGTTTAATCTGTAAAGGAACACACAACAGTAAGCAACCCAGGACCGGAGGTGGTGTCGGTTAAAGGCTTTCTGACGATCAATCAGTAAGTAAATATATGAGACTCAAGCAGTATGTAAGAGAACAAGCGTGCGATAATTGCATTACCAAAGGTGAACCCTAGAAGAATGTATTTATACTAGTTGAGATACAAACCTTTTAGGATATGAAATATGTAAAAATTCTAAAGAATATCTAGGAGAAGGTATTGCATCCACTTAGAGTGTGATTATTTGTGGCGTAAGCCAATTCATAAATTGTAAGGATTTCAGGAATATAGGAAACCTAACTGTTTCCTTACTAGATCAGTATGTGCAGCTCTGCTACGAAAGCTATTGAGTCCATGATCAGATTTATGTGTTATTCGTATTCTGATTTGATTTACTTCGACTATGAAAAATCATAGTCCCACATTTTCCATTTCTTCCAACCGGTCATTGTACCATAGAGAGAAATACTAGTATTTGGTGGCAAATGTTGTTAATTTCTTATTTGGCTTCTAATTTTTTTAATTTCAAGAAAGTGGTTTTTTCTATATTGTCTACATGGCACCAAATTATTAGTTATATGTGGTGTACATGTGCCATGCTAGCATTCCAACAGAAAAAAATTACTGATTTTTATGGCAGGAACATAGTCCGGGCTGATTTTGATTGATTTTTAAGTTAAGAGACCAAATGATGAATTAGGCCACTTTTATGGATAATTTATGTAATTTTTTTTTCTTTCTAAAATTTGAATTCAATTTGTGTGACAAAGAAAGTTTTATTAACTTTGTTAAAAAAAAAAGAAGAAGAAAAAAGTGCTATTAAAAAAAACAGAGTGTGCTATCCACGCACTATTTTTTTACTTCTAATACATTTCTTGTTAATTTATGCTATTTGATCTTTTTTAATTGAGTTGATCCGATAATCACAAATTAATATGTTATGTACGAAGTAAAGTGGGTATGTGGATATCACGGTTTAAAAAAAATTATTATATCAAAAGAAAAAGTACCTAAAAAAAGAAATTGCACCACCAAACACCAACTGGTCCAAATAGAACGACTTCCTAAAAAAATAAGGGAGCTAGCTCCGTTTCACATCCTGTCCTTTCCCCGGTGAATTAAAAAAAAGGAGAACGAGGAAAAACTGATAATTGAAGGTCGACCCCGACATCGACACCGACCCCGAGGGAAGAAGAGGAAAACGGGCTGTTTTTCCTTTCAGGTCTGATTGAGTGCGCGACTTGGTATTCCGAAGGATCGCCATCTACACCTCGGCTGAGCAACAAGACGGACCTGCGTCTCAGCTCAGCTCGTAAGTCGCATCCCTTCTTCCTTTTCCTCAATTTCAGCGGAGTGAGTCTCGATTATTTCTTATATCCTATACATTGTAATTGTAATTGTAATTGTAATTTTAATAGGAATGTAATTAATCTTCGACTTGTTGAGAATTCCGGTCCCAGTGATAGAAATGGCGATTTGTGCTCAATGAATTCATTTTTAAACCTCTAATTCGAAACAATAAATCTGCAGGCTGGTTGATCTAGTCATTTTATGCCGCAGTTACCGCGTAATCAATGTTTCACTATTAGAATTGGGATTGAAACCTCCTCTCCAGCTGCTGCCGCTCGTCTATCCCTACCAACAACACACCCTTCGTCTGTTTTTTCGATCTCCCCTTTGCAATTCATAAGAGTAATAATAGTTCTGGTTTTACAAGGAAAGTAGAAGAAAAGAAAGATAGCAATACTATGCAGAAGAGTGGGAGTGTTTCCAAGAATAGTTTGAGAGTAACGACACCTCAGCAGTCTCTCAGGCGACTGGGATTGTGCTCCCAAATAGCCACTGCAACTGGGGGTCAACACTCCTCCCCAATTGTTTTCCCTGAGAAACAGAAACGACACAAGATCAAGGCTTCCAAGACTCCAACCCCTGCCTCTACTGATGATCCCAACACACTAAAGACCTTCGAGCACAGGATTGACATTCCGGCTTCTGCTGCTGGAGATGAAAAGTCTGACCTGTTGGGTTATGTTGTTTTCGCTGGAAAATTAGTGTTGGACAAAAGAAACACCAGCAGTATAAACACTAATTCTTCTACTGATGTACACCAAACAGCCTCCTCTTCTGATATTCCCAACCAGGAAGCTGTTGATGCCAAGCTTACCAGTAAGGCTTTAATTTGGGGTTCTCACATGCTGCGTCTTGATGATGTCATCTCAGTAAGAACTTCCTCCTCTAGCTGCATGTTACAACATTTACAAACCACAAGGCCGCCTTTTCCTCTTTGGAATGAAGTAGGAAACAGTAATCATTTTGTTTTCTTGCACAGGTTTCATACAACGTTGGTCTCAGACATTTCACCGTGCATTCTTATCCCTTGAAAAAGGGTTCTTGTGGCCTTTCATGTCTTATTAAACCTCGCAGAAGCCGTAAGGACTTTCGATTCTCGGCTTCTAGCATAGAAGAGGCAGTTCAGTGGGTTGGTGGGTTTGCTGATCAGCAGTGTTATGTGAATTGCTTGCCCCATCCATTGCTATCTTCTAAGAAGCAGGCTTCTTCAGAATTACTTCCAATTGATACTCCCCCTGAGTTAATTTTCAAATGTAAGAGTCCGCCAAAAATACTTGTAATATTAAATCCACAATCTGGACGTGGCCGTTCAAGTAAGGTTTTTCACAACGTCGTTGAACCTATATTTAAGGTATGATGTATATCCTGTTACCTTTCCCTATCTGTTAATTAGACTGCCTTTTGTCATTCAGGATATGCATTATTTTTATTTGATGGATACAACTCCTAAACTGAACTGCTGCATATCACCCATTGATGTAGCTATCTAATAGGAAATAAATATTTGTAATTCCTCTTTGTATATTTGAACTCAGTGGTTGAGTTGGCTTGCTTGTCTATTCTTGATAGTTTTAATGCACTCTTTCAGAGCTTGTGGTCATATTCATATTCATATTGGAGCTGTGAACTGTGACAGCTTGCAGGTTTCAAAGTGGAGGTAGTCAAAACAACATCTGCAGGTCATGCTAGGAAACTTGCCTCTACTGTTGACATTAGCACTTGTCCTGATGGTACTACTACATAATGCAATATCTAATCACATTGCTTATTTTTGGTTTTCCTTATGCATTCTGATTTACTTTATCATCTTTATAGCTTTTGTTCATTTATAATTTTTTTTAATTTTCAGGAATCATTTGTGTTGGGGGTGATGGAATTATTAATGAGGTAAATCCTTTGCTACTTCGATGTTTCCAAGTATGGTACATAGCCATGATTAGTATTATTCTGTCTGTCTCTCTGTCTCTGTCTCTGTCTCTGTCTCTCTCTCCCTCCCTCCCTCCAACATGTGTGTCTCTATAAGGTTCTATGCCCCCGAACATGTGTGTGTCTTTATAGTTTATGCATACATACATACATACATATACATACATACATACATATATATATATATACATACATACATACATATATATATATATACATACATATATATATATATCTGGGAATTGAACACAATCCTATAGACATAGTGTGTGTGTGTATATATATATATAGGGTTTAGGGTTGTGTTCAATTCCCAGATATTTGACTGCTTTAACTGTCTACAACACTTATTTTGACCATTGAAATGGTCCAGTGCCTTAAAAAAATGAAAGCTTGCATTGATTATAGGACCACCATATATGTGAAAATATCTTCCATAAACCATCATTTACTATCATGGGGGCTCAGTTGCCAGATTTTGAAAAAGGAGCAACGACGAAAAGGCGTGTGGTTACAATAAGGGAATTCAGTTGATGGACAAGGAAGGAGGATTGATATTCAGGCCCTAGGGCAGAATTATCTGAAGATTTTACCAAAGATTCAAACAAGGAGTTGGCCAATCAATAAGAGGTCATAGGTTTAGAAGTGGCTTAGGGATTGGGGAATTGAAATATAGATTTGGTAACTGAAACCGAGGATGATGAAAGATTCCTTCCGGTGTGGTGCATTGACAGAGGAAGATGGCTCTTTGGATGAAGCTGAAAAACCAGATATGGGAGAGGATGATTTGACAGAGGTCTTAGGTGAAAGTCACTGTTGTTGGGACTGTGGACAGCAACAAATTGTAGGGGACAAACAATATGCATGGAAATCAGATATTTAGAAGCATGAAAAGATGTTGGGAGATTGGAGTGCAGTGGGGATCTTAGTTTGTATAAAAGAAGAGAAGCTGTGGTAGGATCTGGAGTGGATCAAGCTGAAGGCTGAAGATAATTGCAAAAGATCATAATGCCCTGGAGAAGTTTGGAGATTTGATGAGCAAGTTGGACATTTTGTTGTTTCCACTTGGGAAAAAAAGAAGCATTCAGAGGATTGAGTTGAAGCTGAGAGGTTAATAAAAAGGGAACAGAGCTAAAAGTTTAAAGTTTGAGTTGAGTAACTTGAGTTGTGCAAAAAGAAAATAGGAAGAAGGGGTATGGAAATATAATTAATGAGGACTGAGAGTTTGAGCTGGCTAAATGGGTGGTGACGAAAGTGAAGGAAAAGGGAAGACCAGGTGCGGTGGAGAGAACCTGGTGAAGAGAAATAAAGCTTTACTTGGGAAATAGTTATGGAGATCTCCAGTGGAGGCTGATTTTTTGGTATGATGTCATTAAGAGTAATACGGGAATGAAATGGCTTCTAAACGTCATTATTAATTAATTTAACCAGAAAAAAAAAAACTAGAGCTTGAAGTCTTTTTCTGAATTATCTGCATGCGATAGTCTTTTCTCTTGAGATATGTCTGGAAATCTCGGGAAAAGTGAGGGTGTCAGCTTCGAGAAGCTTGTCATACAACCGGGCGGACTCGTAATAAAATCCTTCGTTTAGCATGATGGCATGAAGGAGAGTTTATATAGACATATTTAGTGGAACTTATGGGGTCAATAGAGAGCACATTAATTGAATATAGTATATCTAACTTGTCGTTGTACATGAGATGTGCACTATCTGATAATATATGGGTGCGCATGATCTGGGTGCTGAGGCGAGAGCAATGTGGTGTTTGGGCGGCTATCATGACGGCACGCGACGTCGCACATCTTTGAGGTTTATGAGAGTCGGAGCGCTTGAATGACTTGTGAGGTTGGGAATGGTGACTGAGTTGAGACGAGTTTCTTGAGGGAAACACCCGGAGTTGGGAAGTTGGTTGCCTTTGCGTTGGCCTGGGTGGAGAAATAATTTATCGGTGAGAAGCCGGAAGTTTTGGAGAGAGAAAAACTCGGCTTGGTCTGGCTCGTTGGGAGGTCTATATACCTTTTTTGGAGTTGCTAGGGATATAGAACGAAACTAATAGTTAACGATTCTGTTTGAAGTTGGTGGCTGAGGGGACAAGGGATTTGGTCACACACGGACAGCACTTCTTTGTTTTGTTGAACGGTCTTAATGGGAATACACTAATTTGACGATTGGTTCCTTCTTCGGTGCTCCATATGTATTTTAGGAGGCGCTGGTCGGCAGGTTTATGGACATGCATATTTGGTGTTCTAATTTGCTCGTTCTGTCTATACCTTCGAGATGTATGCTCTTCTCCTAGTTTGTTCCAACGTGTGATTGATGCTTTTTCTAGTAGATATATATATCCTTAATGTGCAGTGATTCTCCGTCACTCTCCTTTGATTCGTTGGTATTTGGACCCGATGAATTTCGTTGTCTGATATCTATTAAACAAACATCCCATTGTTAGATGTCTTCAAATCTCGGCAAAGCTCAAATGAACAGGCCATACACTTGGGATTTGCTTATTTGTTGATTACATGAACAAAAATGAAAATCAGGCTCGTCACAAGAACGTTACCTTAGCACATTTTGGGTTCACATTTTTGGATGTCTATGAACGAAGCATTTTGAGAAGCAAAAATTCCATTTTGAAAGAAACTAAAAAGAAGAGATTGCCGTGTTTAAATTAAAAATCACGTCTCATTTATGTGTTTTCTTTTTTTATATTTATATTTTGGCTTGGTTGAGCTCCAATGCACATTTAATACTTTTTGGCATTTTCTTTAAATTTAATACCTGAATTTGATTGGAGTATTAGCATTTTAATGCGTTTTATTTGTGTAGGGGCACTGAAGAAGTGGTGTGGGCTGAGCTCTAGACTAAGTAGAGGACAACCGAGAAGACATGATAAGGGAAAACTTTTCAAATTATATAGTCCGGCCTAGACTAATGGGATATCTTTACGTGTGAACCTGTGCGTGTTGTACTGGATAACTACCTACACATTTAAGGTGTTTTGGATGAATGATCCTCCGGGTTTCCTCTCAATCTGAATTATAGGAGTTAAGAGAATGTGTCTGCAGAAGATGTCAATGTCTTGTCATGGGCAATTGAGTCGATTAATTTGACAAGCGATGAATAATGAAGTCATCTTACCCATCCTGGTTGTGGATGTCTTGAAATTATGTTCTGCTATTATATATAACCATATTTAGCATTTTAGGAAATCATCCATCGAATATGGTAGGGTAGTCTGGCATTTATTGTAAATTTACGATGGAGTCGCTTGAGGTATGACGTATTCTGTTCAATCTGAGTACAACTAATATAGAGATATACCCTAAAATTTTTAAGATTAGCAACAGTAAAATATTAGATTGCTGTGACGCTCATGAACTAGGATATAGACACATTTACGCCACGTTATCTTATTCTTTAGCAGATACCTGCAAGCCAAGAAGATTATTCGCAATACACGACAAATACGTAAAAAGTCAAATCAGAAGATCTATATGTCATTAAATGTAACAACAGTGGTAAACTTTATTATAAAATAATAATAATATAAATCATTAAAAAATTAAAATTCACTTATAATTAATAATTTAAAAAATCACAAGCTAATATAGCAAAATAAGAATTTCTAAAACAATGATTCAACAAGGCGTATTAGCCCGAATATTAGCTTCAAGTCATCCACCTCAGTCAACCCCCGGACCGACCACAAATCTAATATAGATTTGCGAGAGGCATTACATTAACACGCAAGATTATAAACCCACGCTTTTTGAGAACAATTGTTATTGCATATCATTGCTAATGTAATAGATGAGTAGGCGTGGGTAAGGTAATCGCTGTTACATAGCATGCACCGATTTAAGGGATTAGAGGAGGAGCGAGAAAGCTCACTTAATCTAATTCATAAATTAGACTTTATAACACTATAATATTTCTAGAATAGAGAGATCTCACAACGAACACAAAAGTAGGTATGGCCTAAAGGAATGCTAATACCACCTCGAAACACTGAAAGTTTAGAATCTGAGTTTCTTTCTGAGAGCAAGTATAGTCAAATCAATCGAGATTATATACGAAACAGCGCACGGAGGGCAGAGATGAAACCTATGTGAGAGTAATTGGGACAGGATATGTGAGCAATATTGAACGAACTAACATACACAACTGAAAACTAACTAAATAATCGAGTTAATTATAGATAGAATGGGAGGAGAGAGGGTGGAGGTGCTTAAAGGCGACGCAAGTCATAAGTATTAAGAGCATTGAACGTATAGAATTTAAGAAGTCTGACCCAAAAAAAACAAGTAATTTGTATATAGTTTAGGTGTATAATGGATATGTTGGAGGGATATGCTAGAAGGTTATTCTTCTCTAATAACAAGCACATAGAACACCATATATGAGTACTCAACCTAAATTGATTTTTCAGTTGTTTCTTTGGATCTAATGAAAAGACATTGGCACATATACCAATACAGTTGTTAAAGACTCACATACGATTTCATTCAGATTAACACCAGTGAAGCAACCACTTTTTTAAACTCCTCTCCACGTACTTTTACTTAATGGGATATATATGAGATCGTTGAATGTTGTTCGCGGGTAAAACGCGGAGGCGAACAAATTTCTAAATTGCAATCATCCTCTTAGCAAAAAGCTCTCCCCCTATAGACGTGGAACCAAGCGACTAGATATTAGAGATAACGCCAATCAATAGAGAAAGTCATTAGGGAGTCTTTTTATAGTGAATAACCTCATTAGTTTCCACAAGGATGGATTCGGCATAGCTATTGAGACGTGGACTGAGTGGCATTTCCGATTAACGTAGAGGTATAAAAGAAGCATGAATACTTCTTGACTCTAAGAATCATTGTTATAAGTAAGTCAGAAGATTGATAGCTGTTGGAAATTGAGAGAGACCCTTTCCAATTAACTATAGGTGTGAATTCATCACAAGTACTTTCATAACGATTAAGGTGAAATTCACTTATGAAGACATCTTCTCTGTATCTTATGCTAACTGAGAATATTCATAAGAGGCATAAGGTGAAATTAAGTATGCATCCCTTTTATTGTGATCCGAGAGACATCATCAGATAGGACGATGTAAAATATGTCTGTCTAAAGTTAATAAGGGTTGGGTCAATTTAGTTTCAATACAACCTTTTTTTATTGCCAGCAAGTATAAGCAAATTATCACAACTCAGACAATCGACATATAACTGAAATGGTAAATAATACAAATTTTCTATCTTGAGACATTTTAAAGGTACCTATATTCATGCTTTGAATTAACCTCTTAGCCAAAATAAAATTAGTTACACATTATAAAAACATTTAACCAAAAGAAAAAGCAATAATAGGGAAAGTTTAGAGGTAAAGTTCAGTAACTCGAAGACTAAGAAGAGAGAAGAGAAAGCTCTGCTCACGTCTGCAACTGTGCGCGTAACACTTTCGCCCAACTGACGCAGCCTCTGACTCTCTTTCCTCCCCCACATTAAACTTTTCTATTTCCTATGTCTTTTTTGAAATTTCCTAGCGCAAGCCCTGCTACAACGAGAACAATTTTTTTAGCAAATCACAACTTCACTGAAAGGCCGTCGCCGTGTCTTCGCCCACGGAATTGTCCTTTGGGCATATGTCTGCTCTCATGTCTTTTTACCTGGACATACTTCTGAAACTGCCCTCTGCGAGCTAATTTGCGCGCCCCTAGAATGTGAACATGTCGAGTCTGCTCTTCGCTTTGGCACTCATCATTCGTATCTGTCTTTTCTTGTCCTTTTTTTTTTTTCACTTTTCATAATGCTATGCAATTAGAATTCTGGTTAGAGGGTTTAGCTCTAGGCTAAGAGTTGAAAGCGCTGAAGCCCATATACAAACATGAACAGATATAGCAGAAGGTTTTATAAAACATATTTATAGAAACTATACTTCTACAATGAATCTGAGTTGGTGAAGATAGCGTTGTCTCTCTTCTCTTTATGCGTAAACACGCTCCCCGTGTCTATCTCCTCTCTCTTCCTTACTTGACTTCTGACCTCTTACTACTTCTTTATTTTTTAATCTTTTTTTTTTCTTTCTTTCTCAGCTGCTAATTAATCCAATTGGCAGCTTCTTGCCTTTGTTTTTATAATTAGAGTGAGTTTTTCACTTCTCTTGGTGTTCGTTAAGACCTCAACCTTCCTCTTATTTCTTCTCTACTAACTAGGCGTTTTTTCTCTTTTTTTTCATCTGGCCCGCCCTCTACCAGCCTTGCCTTTCTTATGTGTCTTCACTCTGGTGCGAAGCGTCTCTCCTCTACAGTTGGCTTGCAAACTGCATATTTCCTGCTTTCTCCTTATCTCTCACTCCGTAGCGTGCCAAATGATTAAAATAGAACTAAGCAACGCATCTTTCTCCTCTTGTTATCTCTTTTTTAATTCTGTTCACCAATTATGTCGCTGAAACCGGCATAATGCGGTGTAATCCTTGAGATTCTGAACATCAAACACCTTAATTTTTTTTTTTATTTCCTTTTTCTTGCTGTCCCACAGCTCCCATCTCTTCCCTTTATTTCTCTGCGTGAGTGAGACCACATCTTTCGACACTTTTAACGGACGCTTACAGCATTTCCCAATCTCTATATTACCTCTCTTAGCGAATTCGGCGCATTCTTATACAGATGATTCCATGATTGTATACTAGGTATTAAGTCCACGAGTGCGTGTACACAAGTTAGCAGATATGGAAACTTAAATTATCAATGTCGATTCTCGGTGCACATATAATATTATCATCACTGCATAGGTTTAAAGGAACAGAGATTTAGTCTCCAATATTTATTTAAATTTGCATGAGTTTAGAAAATAAGATAACTAAACTTAATACAAACTTACTAATTTCATTGCTGAGCCTAGTAGTCTTAAAGAGAAATACAATTCTTAGATAAACTAAAAGATTAAGTGATATGAAAATATTTAGGATAATTAATGTGCTGTTTTTCATGGTTTTCAGGGGCTGTGTGTAATTTTATACATCATGAGCATAACACGGGATACTGTTTTGATGGGTTCTAGAGTGGTGAGTTTCATGTATCTTTGCGGACTATAACATTACGAACTTTCTCGAGTAGATAGAGCACAGTCAAAAGTTAATAACGTTTTCGGAGTGATTGAGTAAATATCTCTCTACACCAAATAATAATGCCTATAAAATTGTCAGTAACCTATAGGTACTTGATTTGTAATGAGATAAAGTATGACGATAAAAGTATTGACATTATAAGTGCAGATGTAGATAATAATCAACTTAGATAATATATTCCTAAGCATAATATTTTTATATTAGCAAACTTGGGTGGCTAAGAGATGTTACAGATTGTGATACCTATGTCCTGTAACTGTGATGTCAGTCAATGATAAAGTTGTTACGTTGACCGCCAGTATATGATTTGAGCGAAATCAACTAGCATTTGATAGGTGAGGATATTACGTATGAAGTGTTTTTGGGGTTTTTCTAAGTATACATAATAGTATTAATCACGTCGAGCTTATCTCGCTTACAGATACCAGAATAGTAAAAATGTCGAGGCTGTCTCTTTGTTGATATCCCCGCCTAAAGTAAGGCTGCCTCCTCCTTTCGCTTAGAGCTTCGTTATGAAGTTACCCCGAGCTGCATCTTATATAAAGGGAGGGAATCTACCATAATCTGATAAAGCACGCTTCTGTGTACAACTGCTATTTCTCACAACGAGGAAGACTATACATTTCGTTTTCTCTACTCCACTTTAAGAAGTTCAATTCCTGTACTGAGTACTCATCAGAAAACGATCAAGGTTATACTCCAAAACTCACTTTTCCATAGTTTTCCTTTCTTTAAATTGCATGATATTAAAGTATTTAAAGTTGTTATTTTTGGCATAAATCCCAACCTTCCATTGCTCCAATGACCTCCCTTTTTTTGTGACCCTTGATTCTCTTTTGATTTATTCAATCTTATGTTTCAATCGTGTGCAGTCCTATATAAAGATGTTTCAATCACGTGCATAATGTTTGCGAAGTTTTTATAACAATTATTTTAAGTGTTGCGGTACTTGTATTTTAAAATTTCTCTCATCTGAATTGTACCGTATGCATATACATATAAATAAGTTAAGGGAAATATTCCTGTAAATCTGGATTGCAAATCAAGCTGGCTTGCCTGAATGTGTGTTCCACATTTACAATCTGTCAAGAGAGCATTGCCCTATATATGTGCGTATTTATATATATAGGTGGATATATATGTTAAGACATTCATTGAAGATAAATCACTTTATTTTATAACTATTGTTTAAAAAACAAGTTACATCTCACATTTTCTCTAATTAAATAATTATCACCAAAAAGGCATTTAGTTTTTCGTCTACTTATTGGTAAATGAATTTACTGTAGTTACCGTTGGGTGTGCGTAAAAATTGTCTGTTGTCCGACAGCCTGGTTGTTAAATAATGTTGTTTAGATTATTTGATAGCATTTTGATCAATTGGTGCATTAATAGATGAGTTGGAACTCTGAGAACAGTATTTCTTAATTTTGGACCACTTGTAATAATCTAAATAAGTCTGTATGTTAGAATGTTAATTCATCTTGAACTGGTTGCAGTGTTGGAGCTCTCTGAGAAATACCAAAAGCGCTTTGGTCCTCTTCGTTATTTTGTTGCTGGATTTCTCAAATTCTTGTGCCTACCAAAGTACAGCTATGAAGTTGAGTATCTTCCAGCATTAAAAGAGGACATCTCAGAAAGGGAAGTAGTTGACATGTCCGAACTATACACAGACATTATGAGGAGATCAAACACAGATGGGATTCCAAGAGCCTCTAGTTTGTCAAGTATCGACTCCATCATGACTCCTACTCGAATGTCTGGTGGAGACTTGGATACAGCCTGCAGTAGCAATCATGCTAGCATTGAACCATCTGAGTACGTACGTGGCCTAGATCCGAAATCAAAACGACTTTCAATGGGAAGAAGCAATGTAACTGCAGAGCCAGAAGTTATTCATCCTCAGCTTCCTCTGTCAACGACTCCAAATTGGCCAAGGACCCGCTCTAAGTCGAGAGCAGATAAAGGATGGACTGGATTGACAGCCACACATGATGCCTCCAGATCTTCTTGGTGCAATGCTGGAACAAACGATAAAGAGGATATATCATCAACTCTGTCTGATCCAGGTCCAATTTGGGATGCGGAACCCAAGTGGGACAGTGAACCTAATTGGGATGTGGAAAATCCTATTGAATTACCAGGGCCATCAGATGATGTGGAAGCAGGAAGAAAGGAAGTTGTTCCTAGGTATGAAGATAAATGGGTTGTTACTAAGGGTCAATTCCTTGGTATTCTGGTTTGCAATCATGCTTGCAGAACCGTTCAGAGTTCCCAAGTGGGTGGCGCCAAAAGCTGAGCATGATGACAACACCTTGGATTTGATCCTAGTTCATGGAAGTGGGCGGTTAAGGCTGTTGAGATTTTTCATGCTACTGCAGATGGGTAGACACCTTTCACTGCCATACGTGGAAAATGTCAAGGTATAGGCATTTATTTTAGTAATGACTTTGCACTTAGTTTGATGAACTGCGTGTATTGAACCACAAAACTTCACAATTTTTGGTACATTTCTAGTTGAAGCAAACAGTAAGTGGTTACGTTGTTGATTGGAATTTCTATTATAACTTTTCCCTTGTCCTGGAGTTTAGGGATGGGAGGGCATGGGAGTTTTAATTCTTGTTTCTTGTGCAGGTTCTTGATAAATAAGAAACTACAGTAAGTTGTATAGGGGATTCTAATTTTTTCTTTCATTGTAGGTGAAGTCAGTGAAGATTAAGGTGTCAGGAAAGCACACCCACAATGGTTGTGGTATTGATGGAGAGCTTTTTCCCCTCAACGGGCCAGTCATTTCTTCTTTGCTTCCAGAACAGTGCAGACTTATTGGCCGCTCCCTTACAGTTAACCCTCACGTCTGAATACCGTGCATCTTCTTTTGGACCTCTATAACGGATGTTAAGGGCATTTTTCTATTCACTCATGGAACATGCAAGATTAATGTTTGACCCTTAGCCGTTTATAACAGCTTAGGCGCCTGTAAATGTTTTGTTTGGCCATGTTGTTTATTGGTGTTTTCTTTATCCTTTTGGTTTTTTTTTTTCGTTCATTTTTTTGTATTCATTTGCAGATCATGTACATCGTCCTTGTTTGTTATCTGGCGCAATCTGATTGTGTATTTAAGATGCTGGTATCCATTTTTTTGTGACTGTTCGCGATATTTGTTTTGTAACAATTGATCAGCCATCCTTGCTTGAGATGTGTTAGTCGTTGTGATGATCCACCAAAATGTTATTATACATCCAAACACAATCTGTAGCACAACCAAGGCTAGGCACGACCAAGGGATGCCTTGCGCAAGGAAAATTATGCCATGCGTTACGGCACGCAAAGGCATCCAAGTGAGTTCCTCTTTGCCGTCATGATCGCTAACTTGTTTTGAAGTGAAGTATCTTATTTTCTAGATCACTGGTTTAGTAATAGGGTCGACATGTAGCTTGTGGCAGGTTATTTTGGGATGAATGCAGGGCATGTCGGAGGGTGACCATGCAAAAAACATCATAGTTTTCCTTAAGGAAGGCTGTGAGCTCTTCCTTTCCTTCGGACTCAGTCATGAGCCGACTCTAGCCATCTTTTCTGGTTGCTCAAGATCAAGAATGATGTATTCGGTGTCCTCTTCTGGATTTCATCCTTTTTCCTTTGTCGATGTGTCCTCATGAACACCACTATCTTGATCCGCCTGTTGTAGTTGCTATTTGGTAACTGGCTTGTCCTTATCCTAGGATGCAAAATTAGTTTTTTGGTACTCAATGAAGGTTACGACACCCAATTTCACTAGCCAGGGCCTTCCCAAAATCCCGTTATAGAGACGCGAGTCACTAACTATGATAAACATCTACTTTAAGAGTACTGGTGGTGTTCTCACATCGAGTGTTATGTTGCCAATAACAGTTGAGGTGTATCCGTTGAATCCGGTGAGTACCTCTTCTTGGTGTATTATCGTGCTTTTTGGGCCCATCTTCTGAATGACAAATAACTGAAGTTAGTTTACTGTGTTGTCATTGTCCACCATCACTTTGTCGACTGTAACGTGTGCCTGTTGAACAGACACTACCAGAGCATCATTGTATGGGAAGTCAACTCCTCTGGCATTCTTCTCGGTGAAACCAACGATGTGCCTAGGTTTGGCGTCGGCTACCTGAACCTAAGAGATTGATATAGCCTGCTAAATCTTCATTTTCTTGAAGTTGTTTATGGCCCCAAAGTATTCAGACTCTGCGAAGATGCTGTTGATTCTGATGGTCTTGGCAGACGGCTCCTCATTTGTGTCTGTGTTCCTTCTAGGTTGCGTAACTGGCTTGTCTAGGTATCTGTCGCATTTACCCTAATTCACCATCTTCTTTAGGTAGTCTTTCAAGGTATAACAGGTGTCGGTCGTGTGACCATAACCTCAGTGGAATGCATAGTACTTGGTGTGATCTAGCTTGGAGGTGTCTCATTTGGATTGTCTTGGTAGATTGAACCAAGGCCCATTCTTGAAGTTGCGGAGGATCTGGTTGATTGGGATATAACTTGGTATAATTCTTAGTAGCCTGACATCTTTTTGCTGAAGATTGGTCTTTGCGCTTGGCTCTTTGTCTATTTCGGTTGTTGGACTGCTTTTTGTCCACCTTCTTTTGGGTTACCTTGGACTCTTTCTGAAGTTGTTCAGGTGGCTTGTTTGCTCGTCTGGCCTCATCCCAAACTGCATGCTTATTTTCTAGAGCGAATGAGTCTACCAGAGTCAGGTCATCCTTTATGCTCAGTTCTCTGAATATGGGTGATCTGTTGGGAGTCCCTTTTAAAAGGCTGCGCTGGTGATCAAGTTATTATAGTCGACTATCTTTGACTGCTCCACCTTGAACCTTTTTACATAGTCGCGGAGTGATTCATTTAGATTCTTTTTTATGATGAAGAGATGATCAGACTTATTCTTGATCAAGCGGTATGATGAATACTTCTTGGTGAAAACTATGGAAAACTTGTTGAAACTCCTGATGGACTGTGTAGGTAGGTATGGAACCAATCCTGTGACTCGCCTTGCAAAGTAGTGGCGAATATTTTGCACATTAAAGTGTCGTTGGCTTTGTAAAGGAACATCACGCTGCAATAGTACTTCAAGTACCTTTTCGGGCTCCCGTCTCTATTAAATAGGGTGAAATACGGTGTATTAAACTTCTACGAAGGCTTTGTCTACTCGATCTTATCCTTGAAATGTGATCTGCCCATGTGTATCAAGCCCATGTGAAGGGCCTCGTCTGTGGTCTCGATATGCTGGAATTCGTGCAATCGCTCGGTCAGGAACCTCTCTACTTCTTCCTGAATTTGCCTCTACCAGGGCAGTAGGGCTTCCGACTGCCTCTAATCATGACCTGCTGGTCTTTATGCTTGGCTCGTCAATGCACGACTGCAGTGAATGTCGTACATTCCTAGCAGGCAAACAGATTACTTGTAAGTTGCTGGTTGAACTTGAGCCAGATTGTGCGATTGCTTCTCCCAGTCTGTCGTGCTGCCTACTCTAATGTGAGGTCAAGGATGCTCTTAGCCGGCCTAGCTGTGAATGAACACTTCGCCTGGAAGGTTATCTATGTTGATTATCAGAATGTGGCCTGAACTGTGAATGTATACTAGTCATATGGGGCCTAATAGAGAGTGTATGCTCCTCCGCGCATTAAGACGAGAGTATACATTATCTCAGGGGCCCAGGCGAAAATGTACACTGCCAGAACACTCGATTCATGGCTAGTTGATAGGATGCTTGCCGGGACGGCACTAGAGAGAAACGTCATCGCTTATCCTTGTCCTACTTCAGAATACCTCGTATGGGGCACATTGCATCTCAGTGCGCTACAAGAATTGATTCAACAAGGTAGTCTGCTGTGCGAGGGCACTTGTCAGTTTTGCGACTTGTTGGGATAGGTGTTGTTTACCATTTGAGTGGAAGAGTTGGGATGGTAGACGTTTGCTTGAGTTGTGGTAGTGTAATGGACTTCGGGTGCAAAGTTTGAGCCAGGATAGGTTAGATCTGCAATAAGATGGGGTTGAAAATACCATTGGTTCAACCGTTGGCCTTGGAATTTAGATCTGGGCTGGTTGAACTGGTCTGGGACCATGCTAGACCGTCTGGAAGGCTGCAGGAGTATGTCGGGCGCATGGGCGCTAGGCCATCTCAGTTTGTCCTACTTGGCCTCAAGTTGGAGGTGCGCTGGGTTGCACCTTGTGTCACAGTTGGAGTGGCTTAGGCTGTCTTGGTTTAGGTTGTTCAAGTCCAAGTGAAGGTAATAGGCACCAAGGGTTACTGGTGAGGGCAAGTAGCTGAGCTTGCGTTTATTGGCTGCTTGAACCAAGGGCCTCCTGCCTTAGGGTTTCCTTGAGTTGAGTGGTGGCTGCCCCGTGGGCCACTACAGTAGCTGTTGTCGCTGCTGGTATGGGCATGGTACCTTGTGGTGGCAAAGGTGCGGTCCTTGCCATTGTGAGCCTTGAAGAGCGACAATGTGGAGCCACGTCGCGATCACCATCGGTTGGTCCATGTCCTTTAACGTAGGGGGTCCCATTGGTTGTTGTTTTTGAATTTCCTGCCATCGTAGTCGTAGATCTACAAATGTAGGAAGTTGAAAGCGAGAGTCTTCTTTGAGTCTTCGGATTTGATCTCTTAATGAAACACCAATTTGTGGATGCAAATTTTTGCCTTCCTTTGATTGACGAATATGCACTTGCAAAATAATAACACCTAAGATTAAGGCCAAAAACCTTACGCGCCCATGATGAATGAGGGGCTTTGGTAGAAGAATCTCTGATGCCAAAGTTAGAATTCTGAGAAGAATGTGTTTGACTGCTTGTGGGTAGCAAAAAGCCTCTTTAGGGGTAGCTAAAGCTTACTGAATTTTTGAAGATAAATGGTATATTTATAGGAAAGATGGAGGAGATGGGCCGGCCTTCTAGGGTTTAGGGGTGGCCAGCCCTATGTGGTATATTAGGTGAGAATATTCCAAGATATTTGTGTAAATAAATATCTTGGAGTAATTAGGTAAATATCCTAAATAAATGAAATTAGGATATATATAACTTACTTGGAAGAGATATTCTTTGATTAGGAATGCATTTATGATAGGAATAAGGGATTATTCAATCATAAATACCTTTGACTTTTCTTACGGGCAGGGGTGCCTTAAGCAGTCGTTGTCTGCTTTATCTCAGTTGCGTGTGGTGAATGAGACTGCTCCTTGCTCATTTAATAGGGGTGGTCTTGTCTTTCTTGGAAAATAATCCACGTGTCAGCTTTATGATTTTTGGCTCCACAACACGTATAACAGACTTCTTTATGTGATGGATAAAATTGATGCCGCCCTAGGTAATTTGACAAATGTAATGATAGATGATTTGTCACAGCCCGTCCCGAGATTTTCTTATTAAGGACGTGAAAGGACAAAAGTACCCTTGACGTTACTAAGGTAAGTGTTGTGACATGTTTTGAATATTTCCTATTCCCTAAGCTTTTGGAGAAATAATTTAAGTTGGATTAATTTTGGATGGTACTTTTGTGTGGTTAGGGATTAAAATTGGTATGTATGGTTTTGGTTGGACCACATACACACACAGGACCTCTCCCCTTCCCTCGTGCTCTCTCTCTCTCCTCCCTCACGACTCTCTCAGTCTCTCTCTCTCTCAAACCATACGGACGAGACCAAGAACCCTCCAACTTTCACGGATCGACGCCAAAAAGGTATGATTCTTCATCCTTTTAACCTCCTAAGTCGATTAGTGTTAGTTTTAAGACATGAAACCTTCGAAATCACGTGAAACCCGAACCTCCATTTTATGTCACTATTCATGCAATCGCAATATGTCGATTTTCAGGGAATTCTAAGCTTGTAGTGAGCTTAGTGTGGTCCCAAGGAAGCTCGGAGTGCTTCGTTTGAAGGTTTTGGACGTCGGGATCATCGGATTCGACTTTGGCCGGTTTTTGTGGGATTTCTCCGGTGAGATTTCGTAGTTTTTAGAGCTTTAAACTAGTTTATCGTGAAGCTACATGTTTAGGGCTTCAAATTGATATAATATTCGAGGAAAATGGTTGAGAAACGAGGGAGAACAAGGCAATTGAAAATTGCCCAGTTTTTCGGCCACCGGAAAACTCAGTCCGGCGAGCATCGAGGAAGAAGATGCGCGTGGGGGCGCGTAGGTCCGTGCCACCCACGGCGCGTGGGGGCGCGTGACAAGC